CTGGCCGCCGCGCCGGGCCGCCGCCCCGCCCGGGGGCGCCGAGGCCCGGCCGCCGAGGCCCCGACGGATGCCGCCGAGGAGCCGAGGGGAAGGGAGCGGGCGGGGCGAGGGTGAGGAGGCAACTACAGGGCAAGTGTTATAACACATAGGATGTTCAAAGATCTAGGATTTTGAATACATGATTAGTTTATGAATGAACGTATGCATGAACACATCGTTGTTTTTACTGCTAAATCTCTGCATTTGTTATGCATGATCCGCACGCGGAGTCGGGCGAACGGGGGGGGATAAAAAAAGGGGGGGTTGGAGGCTCAGCTCGGCATGGGCCCCTCGGTGGGGCCGAACCCAGCTGCATGCAGCAGATTTCGTACCCCCCCCTTTCCCTGTCCCCCCCTTTCGTTCGGCCCGAGGTCAGGAGGCAACTACTGGGAGGTCTTCGTCGGAAGAGCCAAGGAGGATTAAGCCCCATTGGGGGGCCGTCACGCCGGAGTGGGCCTCGGATTCAGCGGGATTGAGCGTCATTCGGCCGGACGAAGCGGGATCAGGCTGGATTGAGCTGGATTTCGGACCAGGGCAAAGTCAGAACTTGACCTCCCAGGTGTTGCATCCGAACGAGAGCGAGGGATTCTCCAAGTTGCTCAGTCAGCGTGGGGGGTGGATCGCGTCGGGGGATAGCATGGGCCTATCTGGCGCTGGGCGTGTGAGGGTTGGATCGCGTGAAGGGGGGACTTCGGCGCGCGTGGGGGGGCTGCAACGGGCCGCAGGGCGGGGTGGCATGGGGCTTGCCATCGCTCGGACGTACACTGCCGTTCATTTGTCGGTGTCGTTCCTGTTTGTTCTCGCAAGATGAGCCACGATGCTCCTCGACGGTCCTCGCCGAGGAAGAAATGCACACGTCCGAGCGATGCCAATTCCAATGGGGGAGTGTCCGTGTTGAACAGTCTGCGGTAGCAACGGCGGTGTTGGCGAGCCAGCTGCATGCAGTTGACTCGTTGATGCACTCTCGCATGCATGCTTACGCATGCAGCTGGTTTTCCTGGGCATGCATGCATGAAGCTGCGTACAGGGCAGTTTCTAATACATAGGATTCTTAAACATATAGGATTGTTGTTACATGATTGATGTACGAATGAAGGTATGCATGAACTGCTCTTTGTTTCTAATACTACATCCCTGCATGATCCGCACGCGGAGCATGTATCAAAAACGGCACCGTACTCCCCTTCGCCCCCTCTTTTCCCACCCCCTCCCCGTCGTCCGGGAGACTGAAGATCGCGAGCATCGAGGCAGCTGGTCTGTGCTTCTGCTTGGCTCCTGGAGGCCAATTTTCGGGCATCTCGGGGCTGTCAAACCACGGCTCGGGATGGAAATGCAGCCGCGGGGGAGAGCTGGCGGAGAGGTCGGGGTGCCAACGCATCGGACAACATCGGAGCGCCGGATGCTTGGGGAGGGGCTCGCGGGGCTCGAGGGGGATCGAGAATCGAGGAAGTCGAAAGGCTCGATGTGTCGATACTTCTGGTGACCGCTGGAAACATCCAGACAAGTTTGCGACCGTTTCGATCCAGGTGTTTCTCACAAGCAGATGTGTATATACATCTATGTAACTTAATATGTACACGCCCCCACAGAGCATCTGAGGAACGGGCAACGCACCAACATGCGGCACCGGGGGGGGAACCCGAGGAACCTCCAGGAGATGGGCAGCGAAACAACAGGAGGCCCCCGGGGCGGGGACCCCGAGGAGCCCGAGGTACCCGAGCATCATCAAAGCAACGGGCAAAGTAACAATTACACCAGAGAAAAACTCAAATCAATGAATGGTTTGAAAAATCTGTCAGGTACTATGTCTGGCCGCTCTCATATGGTGAGCTCGATCGTGGGATCCAGAAATCGGCCCAAAACCAACAACTGGGAACCGGGAGCCGGGAACCCAGCCGGCTACCGAATCGGCCCAGAACTTTCGCCAAATCATTCAATCTTCGCTAGGACCTCTTCAGTACAAGCATTGATGGGGCAAATGCGAGGCACCAACATTTTACCAAGATTGGGGAACAATGTGAAGTCCACTTAGGGCCGAAATCTTGGGCCGTGGTCGGGAAGGGGGGGGGCGCGAAAACTTAATCATGTTTCTGGACCGGGACGGCGGGGGTGCCCGCATACTGCCGCCTGCGCACAGGGCCAGCATCCTTGTCAAAAAGCACTATAAAGTGCAACTCTACGCAGTCATCTGGATCGTGGGCGGGCACCCCGCGATCACTACGCATTCATTTCTGACTGTGACGGCGGGGGTGATGACACATTGCCTGCTGTGTGCAAGCCCACCAGACACTATGATGGCCACCCCGCCGCGATTGCGCACCCGTTTTACGACAAGGGTGGTAGGGGCCGACATGTTTCCCGATGTGTGCTGCTACGTGCGCAGGAGCACCTCGCACGCTCTGCGCGTGCCCCGAACGTGGCGCACCTGGCGCGGCTGGAGCATGCGGCACACATAACGCACGTGGATCACGTTGCGCATCTGGCGCACCAGGCGTGCCTGGCACGCTTAGGCCACAGGGGTGCCTGGCGCACCTGACGCGCGTGGGGAGCATGAGTTCTGTTTAGGTTCCCACTAGATGCCCTGTCCATCCAAAGACAACTGGTGAACATAATGTGGCCCGGATGCTACTCATGTGTTGGGGGGCGGGAGGGAGTGAACAATACAGCTTGCGGGCGGGGAGGGTGTTTTGACCACTCCCCCCTACCCCGTCACCCTGGACCTAGGGGATGGGGGGGGCAGCGGGAGGTGGCAAGCAACAAGGGTGACCAAGGTGGCGCCAAGAGGGCTTGCGAGAGCCCGAGATGACCTCCAAGATGGCCAAAGGTACCCCAGGATGGATCAAAGTGGCTCCCAACATACTCCAAAAACCTTCGAAGACTGCTCAAAGACGGGTCCCTTTCATTGGCTTCGGGGCCTCACGAGGAGGCCCCCGAGAGGTCAACATCCTTCAAACATCTGAGAACATGAATGATTTTGACCCGCTCGCCCTTTCGCTTCAGAGGGCTTCCCGAGGCATCAGGATGGCTCAAATAGGGCCCACGATGGCCCTAAGAGGGGCCCGAAATGGCCCTAAGACTGCCCCAAAAGCTCCAAAGAGCGCCCCAAGATCGCCCCAGGAGGGGTATCAAGAGGCGGCGTTGGGGGCTCCAGAGGGGGACCCTAAGTGTGCCCCCTTGTTTATCAACAACAACAGTGGAAACACACACAAGGGTGTTGAAAGATGTTGGCTTGTCGGGGGTATCCTTCGGATACGGTTGTCCCATGGGCGCTTCAAGAGGGCCCCAAACTATTTAATTTGGCATGCGAGACGCAGCAATGTGGCCCAAGTTGGCCCACGATGGGGTTTCCAGGATACTTCCAAGAGGCTCCATGATGACCGCACGATGGCTCCAAATGGCAACAGAGAGTTCCCAAGAGGCCCCCAACACGCCAAAATCCGCCCGAAACCGAACGGCAAACACTGAGTTCGGACCTCTCGCGCGTTCGGGCCTCAAGATGGCTCCACGAATGGCCCCAGAGGGCCCCAGAATGGCCCCAAGACGGCCCCAAAAGAGCGCCCCGAGAGCGCTCCGAGAGGGCCCCAAGAGGCGACGCCACGAGGCCCCAGGAGGCCCCACATCCCTGCTAAGCGCATCTCGCTCGGGCATAGTTTTTTTTTGGACGGGCTGGCGAGGTCACTTTTTAAACTCGCAGCCGCAAGCGAAGTCGCAGGCGGCGTCAAAGGTCGACCCGGGCTACGGGCGGAGCCTAATTACCCAGCGAACGCACTCACGATTGCCGAGGCTGCCGCTGAGGGAGGCTGAGTGGCGCCGGGGGCTGAAGGTGGCTGCAGGAGCTGCCAGGAGAGCTGGGCGGAAAGCGTGCAGGTACCCCAGAGGCGAGACCACCAGGAAGAGGACGACTTGTACCTTGTCACGCCAGGCGGCAGAGGTAGACGTGCCACCGAACGTGGCAAAGCGCGGGGCTGCGCAAGCAGACCAGCGTACTGGGTGCATGTCAACGTGGGCAAACTCAGGCTGGTGAGGTTATGTATAGCATGTAACGACATGTAACATGGAAAAACGGCGTCTATAATACGGATAGCATGTAAAGACACGCAGCTCGCACTACGGAAGCTCCCACGGGAGAGGTCCGAGAGAAACTCCAGGAGAAGGCTCCCGCCTGGGAGGTCACCCGAAAGAGCGAAGAGGAAGAAGCTAACGCCTGAGAGGTCCAGAAAAAAAAAAACGCGGGGGGGGAGAGACTCTCACCTGAGAGGTCCCAAAACAACGCGAAGAGGAAGAGGCCTCCCGCCTGAGAGATCCCCCAACAAGGCAAAGGGGAAGAGGCACCCTTGAGAGGTTCCCACAAAACAGCGAAGAGGAAGACGCTCTCCGCCTGAGACAAACCACGCAAAGAGGAAAAGGCTCACCGCCTGAGAGATGCCCAACCATCGCCAAGAGGAAGAAACTCCCGCCTGAGAGGTCCCGAAACAACGCAGTCACTTGGAGGCTTCCGCCTGATAGGTCACAAAGAAATCAAAAGAAACCTCAGAAGAAGGTCTCTCACCCCTGTAACTGGCCCCACAATATAACAAAACTGCAGAGGAGAACCGACACGGGTAGAGCAAGGCAGAATAGAAATGGGGGCGATGGTAGAGTAGAGCCGGGCAGGATGGTCTGGAGTAGAGTAGAGAAGAGTGGAGAACCATCCACCTCACTCCACTCCAGTCTACCCCGGTCCAGCCTACTTCAGTTCCCTTTTTAGTCAACTCCATTTCAGTCTTCTGATATATTTGAAGTCTGCGCTGGCAGCCATTTGAAAATTTGGAGTCCCAGATAAACAAACAACATGCCCCCCATCCAAGGTTGATTGTCATTGCAATCAAAATAAGACAGATCGGAATCCAACTGAAATCCTCTGGACCTGTGATCAACTTTGTTCTAATGTGCATCCACTCAAAATCCAATTGTAATCCAAT